ATGAACATGATTGGTGACTGGACATAAGTGTGGATGCATTCTTCAATGCCAGCCGCTGTCCTTTCCAAGGTATGTGACTGTGCAAGCCACATGTACTCAGCAAGTGCCCCTTCATTTCCTCGAGTCCATTAGTGCCCATCAATGCTTCTTGGAGGTGACTCCATCAATGGCACCTGTTTACACATGTTTACACTGATCCATGCGCTACGCCCCAAAGGCTTGGGAACCTTCAAGAAACACTTGCCATTTCTCCCTTGAAGGCTTGGGCAGGAATGCCAATGGGGAGGATGGACAGGGAGGATGGTTGGCATCCAAGCTGCCGACTGTCTCGCTGGTCATCAAACCACCAAAAGCATCCAAAAGCATGGTACTCAAGGGGCTCCAATAAGCAATTCTGAAAAAACAACACTTTCATGACCACCTCTGGGCTGTAGTTGTTTCCTTGCTTCATCTTGCTTCGCTTCCAAGCGCCCCAGCCAGCGATGGGAGGGATACATGTGTGCCAGGGCTGCCTGGCTGGAGCTGGTTGGCCGGATGCCAGCCAACCGCTTTCTGTGATCAAAACGTCGCGCGCAAATGTGTAAAGGAAGACTCCCCTTATAAGTTTCATCAGTGCATCAGCTGGTGCACCGCTCCAGCCAACCAAGCACGATCATGTTTGATCAGAAGGTCGCATGGTAACTTCCCACCACCGACTCGACCGACTCGCACGCCGGTTTCAACACAGGCGTTCCGTCAGCCATCCGCCAACACACGGCCCCACACGTGTTACTTTGCCTCTAAGTCTCCCTCCAACAAACATGGTTAAGTGGAACATGGCCTCTTGGAAGACTGTTTTCCTTTACAAACCGGTGGTTTTCCACTTGCATGATTGTTGAAAGGGAGAGTAAGTCTTTCAAGAACCGCGAAACGGTCCCGTACCAGGAGATTGTAAGGGTGCCAATTGGTGGGAAGGGATGATAAAGGATGTCTATACACAGGGTGCGGTCTGCTAGCACCCCAGAAACAAAACATGCCCCGCTCCCGTTCAGTTTCCACCACCACCCGCCTGCAAGGAGCGTCCCTCCAAGGACTTCTCTCGCGCCAGGGCGTCCCCTGGTGAAGAAACGCATCTCAACGAACACAAGGAGCAAAACAGGTCAAACCAAGCAAACATTTTAGTAAAATCCTTTTAGATTTAGATTTAATCTCCATCAAAAACCAAACAACACAACAAAAGAAACTTCAAAAACATATCATATTTGTTTTCCTCCACTTCAACAAAGACACATCCATGCTCGCCGTCTTCAGGCCCTCGTTTCATCTGACAAACACCTGCGTCGTTGAAGGACGGCCAGGAAAGCACCTTCGATGCAGCGCAGCTGATGACCTCCCTTGATCCGAAAGACTACCGGGTACCGTTGATCCCGCCGAAATGAAAGCGATCCGATACACATCTCAAGGCACCAGTGCCCCTCCGTTCGGTTGGTACCGAAAATGGGTAGATGGTGCAGTCATGTACAGTCAGACCATGTCGTACTTGGTATCTCTTTGGGTTATAGGGTCAATGAGGGTATCTATGTATTGCAGGGTCCTAGTGCTTCCACTCACTTCCACTGCAGCAACCTTTGCGACGTGGGCGAACCACTGAGGATGTTCTAGGACACCGCCGTGTGACCCTCAGGTGCAGCGTGTTCTTCGCCGTCCCGCGTGACGCGTGACGTGCCCGTGTGGGCCTTTCATGCGCAGCTGTGCATCTGAAAAGCCCTGGAAGTCAAACCTCGGACGCGAAGCGGGGGAAGCGGGCGAAGCGGGCGATCAAACCTATGGCCAGGTGGTTAAGGTGCGCAGGTGATGCCACGGCCAGGTGGCTTAAGGCTTGGGCCAGGCCAGTTGGTTCTCAAATGTTCTCAAGTGTCAAGAGGTGCTCAACTGATTCATGGCCCATGGCAAAAGGTGTCAATTATCACACCCTTTTAAATACATATATAATAATAGGCTTTCCGGGGTGACAAATGACCGCCCACACCTTCCGTTGTCTCATGGTGTAGGATTCTATGGGGATAGGGTTGTCATGAGTTTCAACATCAACAACTTTCATCTGGCCAGTACGCTCTCCGGCCTTACATCCTTGAATGCAAAAAGGATCTGTTGAACCTCCGGGTGCTTCCAGTTGCCCGGGGTTCCAAGGTACCTCTGGGAGTCCAACCTTGCAATCAAATGTTCGGCTGAAAAATCCACTAATCATGCAATTGAACACCACCACTACTCACTATACTCATGGGTATATATCCAAATCCCTGTACCAATGGATGATGGTTGGGTTGCAGGCTGTCCTCTAAAATAGTGTTATATATAATTGTTTACTGATTGTCACAGGTAATAGGCAAACCCCCAGCACATACACATGCAAAGCAAAATGCAACTGCCAAGTGCACGAAGCTCTTCTCTTTGCACAAACCAGCTGGAACACAAGCAAAGCAATTGTTGACAAATACTACAGGACCTCAACATGATGCAATGGCAGGCATCAATGGCAATCTCCTCCACCGGGCGATGTAGCTTCGCCAGATCATGAGAAGATTTGCAGTACCTGTGCCTCCGCATGAGCAGCCTGTTTAGAAGATCATCACACTTCATCTTCGCCTCCAGGCGGCCGCTGTTGTTTTTTCCTGGGGTCCCTGCAGCATGGAGAAACTGCGGCTGGCGCAGAACATCCTCCGTTGCCTCATGACCCCCCCCAAATCACAGCCCTGAGCCGCTTGGTGGTTGGCCTACTGACCCTTACATGGAGCGTCCGCGTCCGCGTCCGCGTCCGGACATGGAGCCCGGACGCCAAGCGAGCGGTCATGGGCCCGGGTCTTGTCACCTTCTCAGGTTCAAGAGTGGCTTTCTGATACCCGCATCATGCACTGTGTGCATGGTGTGCCGCGCAAGTGGCAGAGAAGTCGAAGCACCCCGAGCTGCATCTAGCCGGATCTACCCGGTGCTTTCATGCAAAGAGCTTGCTTCCAGGCATCAAGATTGGTGTTGTGCATGTCTGGCCTCTCTGACGCACTTTGGGCCGCACATCTCTTCTAAGCTGAACTCAATGAATTTGTCGTGTTTTCCACGTGCCATGACACCAGCCAAGATATCCAAAGCAATTCACTGAGGCGATCCGATTCTAGATCTTTGCCGTTCTTGCTCGAGACTCCTGGTGACCCCGAGTCAAGGTTTCATGCTTCGAAGGGTGGAGCCCAAACGGGGTCTGGCATGGAGGCCAGCTGGCAAAGCTGAAGATGCAAAACGCTTGGCCTGACATGCCCCCTAGGCCCTAGGCCCTAGGCCATGAACTGCGGGGAAAACACAGTGACAGTCAGACTCTGGAAAGCCTCCTGAAATGTTCATCAACAGAAGCGCGGAAGGTGGTCATTTGTAGATCTTTCGGTTCTTGAACGCCATTGGACGCATGACTAGCACCCTCAGCTCAAGCACCCTCATACAAGCCATGTGTCATCTCTCTAAGTTTCAATCACTCTCATACCAGTTGCTTCCAGGGTGTCATCCTTATGGACAACCCCACACTACTTAGGTAATTAGGTCTCCATATGCCTCCACCCGGCGGTCGTGGAAGCACCGGCCCTCGTCCTCACCGGTGTCCTGGGTCTTCGTACTTCGGGCTTTTGAGGGCCCAATGGAGCCACTCCAACCTGGGGCCGAGCTGTCTCAGCTGCTGACGGCAGGCCACCAAGTGACTCAGCTTAAATAGCTGCAGGTAGATCCAGAGGTTGAAGAACCCTAGTTCGACTATCCTATCCTATAGGTACCCCTGGTTACGGGTCCTATTTCAGGTCACTTAACCTCTGTAGGATAGGAAGGCCGCCCCCAGTGTTCGTGGACCTGTGGACCTTTCAATACGGAGCACTTGACTTGACTTGGAATGCATCTTTAAGATCCTCTTCTTGGCTTCTTGAATCTTCTTGGACTTCTTTGACCACCGAAGACCGCTCCGAACGACGGAGCTTGACCGTTTGCGAGTCCATGCTGTCCAGAACGCCGTAGAACCCCGCAGCTGCCCCAGCAGCAAACTCTTATAAGAGTGACCACAAGGAACGGCCTAAGCATGTTTGGGGTCTGGCATAACGATATTAACCAAAAGAACTCAATTATTCGCACGATGTCAGGCGGTTTTCTCATGGTGACCTGGTGAACCATGATGAACCTGCACCAAAACAAGTCACCTCCCCAAATTTCGACAGCTTCAGCTCACTGCCCATGATCTCAACTCCTCTTGGCATTTTTTCCGTGGGCGAGCCCCTTCTGACTGCGCCCAGACTTCGACGCGCCCGCTACTCGGCGCGACTTTCACAGGTGGCAGTCTGCACCTCCAGGGGGGTGAGTTGATTCACAAGGAATCTGAGTTGATCTGAGTTGAAGAGTCATGAGTCCTGACTGCGAAGGCGAAGACCATATTTGTACGCCTGAGAAGAAGCTAGGTGAGGAACGGTCCTGGTAGGAACGGGCCTTCATCTCCTTGACGGATCCTTGAGATTCTTCAAACACCTCTTGTTACGATTGCCCTCAATTCTCCCCACAAACACTAACATCGGAAGTGACAGTGGGAGCATTTGGAAAAGTACTTGTACTAGTATTATATATATATAGTCTTTTTAGAGGCCAAACATGTTGGTTTCTTGCTTTTTTGTATGGCCAGTTGGGATGCTTTTTCGAGGCTGTGGATATATGTCAACATCACAGGACCTTCCAGGCTCTGGCATGGGCAAAATATGGCTGTCAAACCAAACCTCCCTCATCAAACCATGGTAGGTCGAGACCCCTTATAGAGGAATCTGTTCATTTTCAGGGATATATCCATATGATTCAATCATGTCCTTGCAAGCCCTGTGTGATCTGTGTGTCTGTGTGTGTTCTGACTATTTCCGCCTCTGCTACCAGTATTTGCTCGAAGAAGGACATCTCCCCTTTCCCGTGTTGCATACTTTCCGCGCCGCGAGTTTTCTCTCGCCGCAAACCAGGCCTCAGGTGTCGCAAGGGCCCAAGGCCTTGGGGCAAATCTTGAAGCCGGTCATCACCACGCTGTAGTCCGAGGACCTGGGTGTGTCACACACAGCTGTGACGACCACACGGCGAACGTCAAGGGAAACCAGTGGTGCAGTTTGCCCCAAAAAGATGGACCCACCGACTGGGTAGGGAATGACCACATTGTGAAGCATGTGAAGTGTTCCGGCTTGGAAGCTAACGAGGAGGTCTATAGGCATGTTGAAGGATCAGTTTAAAACAAAAAACAGTATAGTTTGCAGGTTAAACAAAGTTTGCGTTTCAACGCCGTGCCTTCTGTAAAAATATCTGACAATACATACAACATATTGACCCTCAAAACATCTCAAAACCCCTCTGATGATCATGATAGATCCTTATGGGTATAGGTAAATATATTCCATACATGGATTGTGCGGATCCCAAGTCGGTGTTGGGTGCCATCATTTGGCCATCTACTTGAAAGCAACGTTGCTCACTGCACCGAAGTAGATGCCAAGATGGCACTACCATATCCTTATGTTGTCCACTTACAGCCAAGTTCTAAGAATCATTGAAAAAGAAAAAGTGCAGAAAAAAAAACAAAAAAGAGCAAAACCAAAAAGCAGAAAGAAAAACTGTCTGGATAAGAAGTGCAGAAACAAAGCAGAAAAAAGCAAACAAAAGTGCAAACAAAAAGCAAACAAAAAAGGGAAACAAAGCAAAAAAAAACAAAAAAAAAGCAACTGTTCCCCCACTTTTCCCCCACTTTTTTTGTGGCTCTGGAATTTGTTCTCCCACTTTTTCCCCACTTTTTTTGTGGCTCTGGAAATGCCAAAACTTTGCACTTTCCTCGAAAAAAAGCAAAAACAATGCAAAAAAATGCAAAAAAGTGCAAAAAATAAGAGCAAAAAAAGTGCAAAAACAAGTGCAAAAACAATGCAAAAAAAGTGCAAAAAAAACCGTGCCCAATTCGCCTCCAAAAAAAGGCTCTTTTTTGCTTTTTTGGTTGCTTTTTGTTTGCTCTTTTTCCCGAAAGCATTGCGAAGGGTTCTTCCGGAAAATCCTTTGAACACTTACACTTCGACACTTACACACACACACACTGGACGAGCGAAAGCATCCAAGTGCGAAGTATGCCAGTGTCAAAGTATGCAAGTGTAAGTATGCAAGCATGATATGCAAGGGTGAGTATGCAAGCACGCAATGAGTATACAAGCATGCAATGAGTAGGCAAGTGTGAGTATGGAAAACTAGCACGGGAGATGTCCTAATGAAAAAACATTTCCCCACTTTATAAATTCTCTCTTAAAGGCGGAGTGCGGGACGAACAGCGTCAACCGAAAGTGCAACCCTCTGCGGAGATCGTGCGTGTCGAGTGCGCGAAATGCAGGCGAGAGTGCGATTTGTCCGGTGCGCGCGCAACCCTCTGCGGAGATCGTGCGTGTCGAATGCGCGAAATGCAGGCGAGAGTGCGCAACCCTCTGCGGAGATCGTGCGTGTCGAGTGCGCGAAAT